AACATTTCTAACCAGTTGGACGAAATCTTGTTCTAAACTGATTTCCCCATTGCTAATCTTTTTGTACTAAGCTCTCTTTCTACCTAAAAGGTTTTTCAGATCCTTTGTTATCCATTTCGGATCATTATTTTTCGATCTATTAAATTTGTTTGGTAAACTACATCCCTTTGCTTTGCTTAGAACATTTTTAAATAACTTATATTTTGAATCAACATCGAAATCTCCTTTTTCATAACCCAACTTTGGGTTCACGTATCGCTTCAAGACTGGCCCACCCCCCATACCCAGAACTTTCCAATTTATTTCAACCAAAAAATTTCTTAGGTCATTAAAATCACTTATTCGAAAAGCAGGCACTTCAACACAAATTTCTCCTACAAATCAATTCCATTCTATGCTAAATCTGACTTCTTTATGTTCATTGTTCCCTAGCTTAGTCCCTATTTCGATGTAATTTGTTTGTGTTTCCCTGTTAGTTAACACTAAGTCTAAATTATTTTTTTCCCGTGTTGGTTCCTTAATGTGTTGATTTAGAAAGCAATCATTAATTAAATCTAGAAAATCGTCTGATTCATTATTCCCTGTTTCTAGATATTTCATCCCATAGTAATAGCATCCTTCAGTCCTTCAGTCTAAAGACTATGGAGTGGCGCCCTGACAGGGAGCAATGCCTGGGTAGGTAGATATGGAGGTGAAGCTGTTACCCATGCAGCAGGTCATGCTGCATCCCATAGATGCATAGATGCATTTCATCCCTTAGATGCATAGATGCATTTCATCCCTTAGATGCATAGATGCATTTCATTCCATAGATGCTTTGCATCCATTTTGTCTAAGTTTGGTGGCCTGTATATAACTCCAGTTATAAGATTTCGAGCTTTTTCATTTAATTCTAGCTATATAGTTTGTGTGTGGTTCAGTTTTGATTCCCTCTTTGAGACTACATTTAAAATTTCCCCTAACATATATGGCTACACCCCCTCCTTGTCTAATCTATATATAACTGTGTAAAATAGATTAAACTCGTTTATTTGATATTCAGCTAATAGTTCTCTCTTTTCTACATTCATCCACGTTTCGGTAAGTGCAATAATATCTATTGTTTTTGTGCAAACAAGAGCATTTAAATAGTTTGTTTTGTTTCTTAGACTCCTACTGTTCGTGTTATATATCCTAAGAGTATTATTACTTTGATACTTTTCTCTTTTCCCTGTTCATTTTGCCATTTTATTTTACCCACAAACACATACTTTATTACCTCTTTTCTCCAGATTAATTCCCCATACCACTATCTACTAACAGTTTAAACCCAAACAAACGCCTCCAACCACAGGTTCCATTGAGTTCGCATCAGCAACAACCCCTGCCCTAGATAGATGCACCCCAACCCCGAGCACATATGGCATTTTATCCATACAAGTGTTCCCAGTTATCAATGATATAGCATTTGATTTGCGATATTTGTCCAGTCGGCAATTGACACCAAGTGTTCTCGACAACAATTCATTTCCAACTCTCTCTCTTGCAAGAATGCAACATATGATCGGGATTCCTCCCTTTACCCTAACTAATTCTATGGCTCTCTAAAACGTCTGTATCAGTGCCTCACTCCTAACTCGTCCTACACCATTTACATATGCACTTATTCAAATAATAGTTTGTTCCCACTTTGAGCCATAATATTATTCATGTTGTTTACTATATCCCCAATCCCTGCTCCTGGATAGCAAACCCTTAATATGTTCTCCCTATCTTTGGCACAAAAAGCTCTATCTAAATACCTCGCCTGGGAATCTCCCACAACCAAAATTCGCTTAGCGCTCCTAAGCGAATTCTTAGAGGGGCGAAAATTCGGTCTTTACTTTGTGAGAAGCTAGACGGACTGGCGCTCCCTTCGTTGCCTTGCCTTTCGAGGGAACTACAGGCCCCCTACAGCACTCGTCTTCCAGCAAGGCGAATGAGTTGGAAGTTTTTAGGACATTTGTAGGCGGCCTTGTTAGAGTCTTGTTAAGACTCCTGTCCATTGTGACATTCCATAGCGAGGATTGTTTAATATTTGTCTCCTCCTTTGTTTTTTCTTGACGTTGTTTCAGCTGTCGAATGTCCTCCCTTAGGGAATCCAACTCTGTCCTCAGAGCACCACATAGATTCATCAGTTCCTTCACTACAACTTCCATTATTAATATGATAGCGCAATCAGAGCTCCAGGTATCACACCCTCTCACTGTGAATATCTGCAAGTCACTTTAATGGTGACAATTGTAAGATTTTGAGGTTAGATAATGATGATAGAGCTACCAGATACGAGCTAGAGGGTGTTCAGATTAAGAAGTGGGATTACGAAAGGGGTCTGGGAGTTATTATTATTAAGAATTTAAAACCAAAAAATAAAAACATTAATGTATCAAAAAAGCCACGGACAAAAGGGAGTATGCGGGGAGAGGAGAAGAGGTGATATGGGAGAGAGACACACTGTCCTGGGCACTACCGGGTACCCCTCCTTGTATGAAATATATTTACGCACATATTGATTTTTAAATTATGTAATATGATCAGTAACTAAAAAGGAAGATTTCTGAACGCAAGTTTGGGCTCAACCTGGAGATGCCGAGGACCCCTGATATCGCTCCCACTGGCGGGTCATGACTCTTCCTAGTAAATGTGGACACCAGGCATGTGTTATACCTCCCACATAATTGCCACAAGCTCTTCACCACATATTTGCCAATGGCTCTTCTCTACCACATACTGGACAAAAGTTCTTCTGCAGCATATACTTGCCAATAAGTCTTCATCCCCACATACTTGCCACTGCTTCTTCTCTACCAAATACTTGCCACTGGTTCTTTTCCGATATATACTTATCACTAGTTATTCTCCCCAACATACTTGACACTAGTTATTCTCCCCCACTTACTTGCCATTAGTTCTTCTCACCTATATGCTTGTCACTTGCTCTTCTCCCCCACATACTTGCCACTGGTTCTTCTCCCCCACATACTTGCTACTAGTTCTTCTCATCTGTATACTTGCCACTTGTTATTATCCCCTACATACTTGCCACTAGTTCTATTCCCCCACATACTTGTCACTTGCTTTTCTCCCCAACATACTTGCTACTAGTTATTCTCCCCCACATACTTGCCACTCCCTAACATACCTACTACTGCTTCATCTCCACATACTTGCCCTACCACAATGATTGGAGGGAGATCTCAGGTATGTAGGGAGATTTGCAGCAGCTCCTCAACCATTTTGAATCTTGTTAATTTCAACTCAAAACAACTATTCAACTCTGTTGCTAGATGGTGTACTAAAATTCTACATGTAGTTACCGCACATATCACAACTCAGCTGGAAAGAATGTCTGTTCATAGGTTAGTCATTCTAAGGCTTTGGAAATTACACAATTACACTTCTTCAGCTTTAAGTCATTTGATATGCAGTTCAACCAAAATAGCTGCTCAAATGTACCACAGTTCACACAACTGGCAACTCAACTAGATACTAGATACTAGCCACTATATTCATATGATAATCGTTCCTAATTCTCGAAAATTATAGAAAGTCCCAGTCCTGCTCCACAAATACAGTTGAGACCTCACTGGGCCGCCTGCGACGTCACACACACCACTGAAGTTACACCACATTTGATGACACACACTTTGGTGCAAATGACCAGCCCGTAATAATATGGGGCGGGCCACAAGCATCAGTAATGACAACAGTGCACAAAGAACACAATAAACCAAGGGTAAAATATAAACAAGGATCACACATACACAAAATAGCACAAACACAAAACACACACACCATGCGCCGCAACACACACCAGCAGACATCACGCCACAAAATCGAGAACACAGTAACAGAACATGGTAAATATAACACTGTAATACAACACAGTAAGTAAAACACAAGAAATAACAAGGGAACGCAACAAAGCAATACACAACAAACACACGCAAACACACGCAAACCAACCAGGAAGCAAAAAATAAAAAACACGGAACACGCAGGAACCAGAAAACCCCAAAAACCCAGGCGCAAGGAACCCCACCCCACACCCACGCACCCAGACACACACATGCAACCCCCCCACCCCACACCCACGCACCCAGGCGCAAGGAACCCCACCCCACACCCACGCACCCAGGCGCAAGGAACCCCACCCCACACCCACGCACCCAGGCGCAAGGAACCCCACCCCACACCCACGCGCAAGGAACCCCACCCCACACCCACGCACCCAGGCGCAAGGAACCCCACCCCACACCCACGCACCCAGGCGCAAGGAACCCCACCCCACACCCACGCACCCAGGCGCAAGGAACCCCACCCCACACCCACGCACCCAGGCGCAAGGAACCCCACCCCACACCCACGCACCCAGGCGCAAGGAACCCCACCCCACCCCACGCACCCAGGCCCAACCCCACCCCACACCCACGCACCCAAGCAGCCCCACCCCACACCCACGCACCCAGGCGCAAGGAACCCCACCCCACACCCACGCACCCAGGCGCAAGGAACCCCACAACAAACAACAGTCAACAAGGAGGATACTTCCGCTTATAAGCCTCCCATATTAAATATTCCAGTTTGGTAGGGGAACGGCCCTCACGACACCGCGGGTACTCCATATACTCGGGGATCTCCACATCCAGCGGGAGCGGATGTGGAGACAACCCAACGACAGGACACCGAAGACGAAGAACCTGACGTGGGAGGCAAGAACACCGCCGCCGAGGAAGCAGAAGACGCCGGCACAGCAGGCGGAGGCTGCCGAGACGGGCACCCCGCCCCGACAAAGCAGGAGATACAGAAGAAATGGCCGGAGACGTGTGGGGCGGCATAACCGCCGCCGACGAAACAGGGGACGGGGGAGGGGGCACAGAACCTCAGAGTGAGCAGTCTTCTTCAACACCACCACCAGGTCGCCAAGACCACTCTCAACCCCGCAAGGGGAACCACCCCCCACGGGGAACCAGAACCATCCGATGCGGGCGACGGCCTCACACGGGCCCCCACCCCCACAGCAGGGGCCACACCAGGGCCCACACCATCCACCGGACCCACACCAGCACCGGACACACCATCCTCGCACTCCACAGAGGAACAGCTCTCAGAAGAAACATCAACCCTCGCCACATCCTCACATTCCTCTGCCCACGAACGAGGAGGCGAAGCACCCGTATCCGTACGCGAATGCTTGGGGACAGGCCGTTGATCATCGGAGCTGTCACCCCCAGCAGGAGGCACCCGAGAGGAGCCGGCTGCAGGCCGCCCCACAAACGGGGGAGCACGATCCCGCAGAACGTCAGCCTCAACAACACGGGGGACGAGACCGCCACCCACAGAGGAGACAGGAGAAGGAACAGGCGCGGCCACAGGAGAGGAAGGGTCCAACACAGGTGAGGAAGCCTGCAGAGACGTCAGAGGCGCAGAGTCGGAAACAGGTACAGAAGCCGGTGAAAGCGACGAGACCGACTGCGGGGGCGGAGCCGCACACACCACCCCTTCGTCGCGTGCACCACCATCCGCACATTCTACGCTAACAGTCATCACCGGGTCAGCAGGCTTCAGGGGAACCTCCTCACCCATTTCATCACTAGGCAACAGGTCCTGCACCACCAACGAGGGAAAATCCTCGTCCCGGAACAAATTAACAGGTGCAGCCGCGACCCCAGTGCAACCAGCTACCAGATGCCCCTCAATGCCACAACGAAAACATTGTCGAGGCTGTCCTGTGTAGAACGCCTGCATACTGTAGCCCATCAAGATCACCACAGAAGGAACAGGAGACTTGAGCCGCGGGTCGAGAGTTCGGGTCCCACCCGAGACACCACGCCACCTGCCGACAGAGACGAAGTTCATCTGGATGGAAATAACAGTCCCAAACTGGCCCAAATACCGTCGAAGCAAAGCCTCGGTGAATTCAAATGGCACACCATGCAGGGCCACATACGTTACCGAGCAGCACCGGTCAGATATAGTGACGGTACCACCGTCCCCAGGGAGTGGAAGAGAGCGCGCATCGTAACGGGCCATGAAGTCTCTATAAACAGCAGCTGAGTTAAACTTAACAAGTGCCCGATGGGTGGGCAGCAGTTGGAGCCCATACACATCGGCAACTCGCACACGCAGCATATCCAACAGGACAATCTCAAGGGCCAGGTAAGGCACACGGCCAGAAAATTCCAGACCCACGGTTTCAGAGCGGTGAATAGGGGGGAGGGCTCTTACTGTTGCCTATGGCGCCCTATGGCGCCGACGTAACAACAGGACCCTCCCACACGGAACGCCTAGCAACAACTGGGGAGCGCCTGGCGACCACGTCTAGACCCCCCTGGCAGTCAGCCCAGCAATCCCAATCTTTGTCTGATATACAAACAATATTTATCACAATTTAATTACTCCTTCCTAAAGAGAATATGATGAAATAAGCCATTGAACAAATCCACAGGAGCCTTGATGAGGGTTCGATACTATGCGCAGGGTGTTCCAAGATGCATGCTCTAGTCACCTGTGCCACAACATGGTTAAAAGAATTTAACCCATCCTCAAACCAAGTCCATTCCATTCTGCCTTCGACCCGCCGGAAGGAGCCGGTCGGCCGAGCGGACAGCACGCTGGACTTGTGATCCTGTCGTCCTGGGTTCGATCCCAGGCGCCGGCGAGAAACAATGGGCAGAGTTTCTTTTACCCTATGCCCCTGTTACCTAGAAGTAAAATAGGTACCTGGGTGTTAGTCAGCTGTCACGGGCTGCTTCCTGGGGGTGGAGGCCTGGTCGAGGACCGGGCCGCGGGGACACTAAAAAGCCCCGAAATCATCTCAAGATAACCTGACCCCAAAGACGCATTCATAAATTTTAACATACTGTTCCTTCAAAAGAGGAATTTTAAAATATTTTTTATATTTTTTTTATATTACTGTATTGTACATCTTTAGGCACTGTTTAGGTTAAGTTAGGTGTTTAGGTTCTATTGGCGATTATTTGTATTTTTAGTACCTGGGTGAAGCATTTACAGCAACTCATCCCTGACTCAAATTCATTACATCCAGCGGTCGACCCCACAAACGCATTCATAAATTTTTACATGTTGTTTATTAAAAACAAGAATTTTCTCAACTATAATTTAATATTATAATATACTAGGATATTGTGCATATATAGGCATATGTTAGGTTAGGTTAAGTGTTTAGGTTCTGTTTGCGATTATTTGTGTTTGTAGTACGTGGGTGAAGCATTTACAAAGTTGTGGTTAGAACAAAATTCGTCAGTGAAGCACTTGTTCCGGAAGTATTCGAACGTCAGCAGTTGTGAGTCGTGAGTAAACCGTTTTTCATTCATAACCAGGGGGTTTGGCGGGTGCATGGAATCACGTTTGAGTCTTTGCTTGGAGGACGGGCTATTTACACAACCTGTCCACGACTGAAGTCGATTTCATCCAGCGGTAAACCCCTCAGACTCATTCATAAACTTTTACATGCTGTTCATTCAAAACGGGAATATTCTCAAATATAAATTAATATTATAATATATTAGCATGTCATGCATATATAGGCATAAGCTAGGTGTTTATGTTTTGTTGGCGACTTTTATAGCATTTATAGCATTGTAGTTTGAAGAAAATTCGTCACTGACGCACTTGTTCCGGAAGCAGCCCATTCTCCAAACAAACAAACACCCAAAACTGATTTCATTCACCCACCAAACCGCCTGTTTATAAATGAAAAATGGTTTACACACGACTCACAACTGATTTCTTTCTAACACTGCCAAAACAAGTGCGTCACTGACGAATTTTGATCGAAGCACAACGCAGAAAATGCTTCACCTATGTACTACAAATACAAATAATCGCCAACACAACCTACAAACCAAACCTAACCTAACGTAGCCTATTTATGCACAATATTCCAATACATTATATAGTTAATTTATATCTGAGAAAATTCCTGTTTTGAATGAACAGCATGTAAAAATTTATGAATACGTTTTTAGGGGTCGATCACTGAATGGAATGGACTTGGGTAGAGGACGGGTTGTGTATAAACCGTTTTTCATTCATATAAATTGAGTTTGACGTGTGGATGGTATAGACCTTGGGTCTTTGTTTAGACAACGGGCTGAAGGAATTGTAACTTGGGGGTACTACTGCAGCCACAAGGATCCCGAAGCTTCCATTGAAGCCAAACTGGGGTTTCACACAATTCCCCCATGCACTCGGACTCTGTCCTCCAGTAGTTCTACCTCTAACTCCCCTCTTTTAATACACAGTGAAATCACATTTTGAGATATATTACAGAAGAAATCCAGAGGTGCCATGATGAGCGCTCAATCTTATACGCTGGTTGTTCCCAAAATTGTGCGAAACCCCGGTTCGGTGTCAGTGAAAGCCTCGGGATCCTTGTGGGTGCAGTAGTACCCCAGGTTGCAAATTTTTATACCATGTTGTGGAGCCGTTGACAAGAGCGTGTATTGGGGAACACCCAGTGCATAGGTTCGAACCCTTAACACCGCTCCTGTGGATTTGTTCATTGATATATCACTATAAAGGATTTCTCTGTGTATTTTAAATAAGCAGTTCTTTAGTTGGATGGAAAGTGAATTGGTTGAGATGTATGGGTATAAAAGAGGGGAACAAAATGGTGCATATAAAAAAAGGGATAAGTTTATAATTTATTTAGAAAAGACTTGGGCAAATACAAGGGTAAAAATATTGAACTATTTCCTTGCTTATTATGTATAGGCCTTCTGCAGTTTATTTTGTTTCTTAGTGACAGTTAATGATTGATTCAACATGGGTGGAAATAAATAGGAGATACTCTATAGGTTTTCATTCACATTTATATTCAATAAGTA